AGGCGCAGGCACGACCACGTCCCAGTACTTCGACCACTCGTCGACGAGGGCCTGGAGGCTCTGCTGCACGGTGAGCGGCGCCTCGCCGTCGGCCTTGGCTGGCCGCATTCCATGACTGCGCCAACTTGGTCTCCGCGTGGATCCCGCCCGAGCCTGTCGCCACCGAATGAAGCACTCAGTCGTTGTAGTTGCGCCGCGCTTGCTCGAGGTCTGCCGCGACCATGGCCTCTGACCAGGAGGAGCAGGCTGCGCTCAGGATCTCGGGCTGGTCATGGGAAAAGTCCCGAGCTCCGCTGCCGATGACTCCGGTCACGCCCTGCAGCCCGGAGAGGTCGGGCGGAGGCCTGCTGGACATGCGCGGGGGCGCCTTCAGGGCCCCCATCCTGGAGAGCGGCTTGTCGATCTGCGCTGCGTCTCCGAGGCAGATGGCGATCGATCTGCGCCAGGCCGCAACTCTCGTGACCTTCGGCAACGTCGGGAGCGACGGGGCTGTAGACGATCCGCACTCCCGGTGTACCTGTCAAAGTCGTGGGTGAGCCCGCGTGCGTCGACCATGTTGACCTCCGCATGCGCGATGAAGACCTGCCACATGCTGCTGCCAGGTCTCTGGCTTGAGCTAGCAAGTCGCGTGCTGCCAGCCAGCCAGGAGCGTGGCCCCCGGCGCAACAGGCCAACGGCCTGGTCAGCCTGGGCTGCGGAAGCCTCTTCGCCGAGCGCATGGGGGTGGCGCTCTGGTGCTTGACTGCCCCGAGCAGCTCGAGCGCGACGGGGAAATGCCGGCTGAGGTCGAGCCCGTGGATGACGAGGGCCTTGGCCTCGCGGAAGAGCCTGGAGACCACGAAAGAATCGATGGCGCGGCCCGCGGGCCTGCGCGCGGGCTCCGCGGGAGCCGCGGCGACTGCTTGGGCCGCCTCTAGCCAGCCCGACACTGCTAAGACGGACGGCTCCATGTTGATATCGCCACAGACCACGAAGAGCTTGTTGGACGCTCGCAGGGCCCTGAGAACCTCCTGCAGCGTGTCCGCGCTGCTCTTGTGGAGGCCGACGATGACCTCCAGGTAAAGGCTGACCCGCGCAATGACACCTTTGCGGGCGCCGTTGAAGTGGGAGATGATAGCGCGCCCAGGAACCAGCGCCGGCGGCGCACCCAGCAGCTCGTACGGCTCGAGCCCAAGGTGGCGAAGCACCATGTGGACAAGTCCTCCGCTGCCCTGGCGCCCTGGCCCAACGTTGATCGCTGGCGCTGCTTCCGAGACCTATCCGAGCCTGCGGGGCTGCCCTTGAAATTCACGCGTCCGCTGGTCGTCGAGGTGCGTCTCATGGACAGCGACGAAGTCGCTGTACCTTACCGAGGCCGTTCCCAGGAGCTGGAAAAGAACGGCCACACATTGCAATTGACGGTGGGGCCGACCCACCAGCGCCCCGCCTGAGCACCTGCCCTCTTGGGCAGCAAGGAGGAATGATTGCCGCCGAGCCCAGCACCGCGTCCGCTACCCCCCAGAGGTTTTGGAACGCCCGACTGACCTGATGGTGTCGAGCGCCTCCCGGAGCCGCTTCTTGTCGTTCTCGTCCGTAGCGCTGCCCAAGAGGCCCCCAGGGCCCACTCCTGCCATGAACCCGTCGTCGCCCATTGCAGCGTCCGCCGCTGCACCAGCTGCCGTTCTAACAGCTGGAGCGCCGTTGCCACCTTGCGGAGGCTCTGGTGCAGGAGGAGGTGCAGCAGCAGCTGCCAGCTCGTCGAATAAGGCTGAGAGGCTGACCAAGACCTCAGCGCCCGACTTGCCCACCGTGGGGATGGCCGCGACCTTTTCCATGACCGAGCGGAGCGTCTCCTCGGCCGTGGTGGAGGAATAGAGCTTCGCAGCTTGCTTCTTGGCCTCTTCGAGCTCTGCCTTGCGCTCGGCGAGGGCCCGCTCGGACTCAGCCAGCGCCTCCAGAGCCTTGCGAGAGTTCTCGAGCAAGCGGTCCGGCTTGGCGCTGGCGCCGGCCACGGCCAGCGATGCTGCATCCACCGCCGGGGGTAACTTCCGAACCTCCGAGCCCAAGACGCCAGCGGCTGCCTTTCGGCGGGCCAGCTCGACCTTGTCTCTGCTGCTCTCGGAGAGCTGGTCCTTGACGATGTTATAGGACTCCATGGCCATCGCTGCACAGGCCGCGATCTTGTCGGCAGAGAGGGTGAGCGTCGCAGGAGACGAGGGTCCTCCACCTCCATGCCCGAGCCCTCTACCCCCGCGACCACCCCGCTCACAGCCTTTGCCGCGCTGTTGCTGCTGAGCCCACGGAGCGCCAGCCGTGCCGCTGCCGACGGACCACTTGCTGCCCCATGGCTTCGGGCTGCCGCCCCCTGCAGCTGGAACGTTGCAATCCTTCTGGGAGACCTTGCAGCCGGCCTTGAGACAGAGGAGGGGATGCTGGGGCGTGTAGCCACCGCAACGCACGCACTGCCAGTACTTCGCCATGAGAGCCACAGGGCCCACGAGACCAGCAACACTCGAAGAATGACTGCGCTCCCTCGGGCAGAGGGAGACAGGTGAAGGCCAGGGGCGGACCTGGCTTCACGAGAAACTGCATCGCGAGCTCGGGGAACAGAGCTATCCCGCTGTTGCCAGGAAGCCGCCAATCCCCAAGCATGGAGCCTTCAGCTAGAATGGCTACGGAATGCCACTGGGGACTTCGGTGGAGCTCCCTATGGGGCCACGAACCGCGTGAGAGTGTGCAGAAATGGAGCGGCGGCGCCATGCGGACCCTGCCACTGGGGCCTTCGGTGGAGTTCCCAAACGGGCCACGAATCGTGTGAGGGGTTTGCTCAAATGGGGCGGTGGTCTTATGCGGACCTGCTAATGCGTCGGTGGAGCTCCCTATGGGGCACCGTGTGAAGGGTGTGCCGAAATGGGGCGGGGGCGCCATGCGGACCCTGCCACTGGGGCCTGCGGTGGAGTTCCCTGTGGGGGCACGAACCGCGTGAGGGGTGTGCCGAAATTGGGCGGCGGTGTCATGCGGACCCTGCCACGGGGGCCTGCGATGGAGCTCCCTGTGGGGCCACGAACTATGTGAGGGATCAGCTCTGCGGCGGTGCCATGCGGACCCTGCCACTGGGGCCTTCGGTGGAGTTCCCTATGGGGCCACGAACCGTGTGAAGGGTATGCCGAAATTGGGCGGCGGTGCCATGCGGACCCTGCCACTGGGGCGTTTGGTGGTCTACGGGCCACGAACCGTGTGAGGGGTGTGCAAAAATGAGGCGGCGGTGCCATGCGGATCCTGCCACTTGGGCCTTCGGTGGAGCTCCCTATGTGGCCACGAACCGGGTCAGGGGTGCGCCGAAATGGACATGCGGAGAACAGAGGCAGGAAGGAGGAGAGGCACGGATGGGAGATGAGGGGGGAGGGCAGCGGAAGGAGTGATCACGGAGCGCTGTCTCGTCCAAACGAAGACCCAACACTACAGGATGGTTGAAGGTCATGCAAAATACAGAAAAACATGGTAAACCAGGATATGATCGCGTCGTAAATAAATCAGGACGGGGAATTTTGGCTGTGTTCGGCCTCGGGGGGCCCTCGCCGGACCTCGGGACCGTCAAAGAACGACTCAAGATGAGAAACCCGTCCGGGGAAGGGTTCCAAACATCTGGGGACGACGTTCTGAACTAATCAGGACGTCGCATGTCTGGGGAAAAATCGTCCCCCTTGTTTTTTTAGTTTAGGAAAAAGAACTATTATTTTTGAACATTTCTCCCGTAGAGGGACGTGCCCAACGTAACGCTGCAGTCGCATCGCGCTCGGCGGACTTCGGCTCGGCGAATGTCAGCGAAACCCGAGCTCCGACGTTGCCAAACAAAAATACACCATCGCAAAAAGACACGACGGGAACCCCGGACCCCATCTTTTTCTGCACCATTTCTCGAGCCGGATCGGTCTGTGAGGGCCCTGGGGCCCGACATTGAGTGACAGCGCCCGGCTCGATAAAGATGAGTCGCCAGGATCTCAGCCCAGGTCCCGGACGTCATGACTTTTTCACGACGTCGACCGTCAGAAAGCTGGACCCATTCCCCGGGACGGGTTTTCATCCTGAGTCGTTGCTTGACGGCTCCAGGGCCCGGCGAGGGCCCTCAGGGGCCGAATTGGCCAACAACCTCCCGTCCTGATTTTTTAGGGCGCGATCATGTCTGGGAAGGAATCTCGGCGACTTTCGGCGATGGGCGAAAGGTTACTTGTACAGTCGGGGCCCGACCACAAGAAACCCTCCAGAAGAAACTCAACCCTGAGACCCCAGAACGTCCATTGATTTTGGGCCTGCGCTGTAGATGGGGTCGGGGGATCGCGCCGCATCGCCGATTCGTCGGCGATGCATCAGCGATGCATCGGCGATGCATCGGCCATGCACTGGCGATGCATCGTCCATGCACCGGCGATGCATCGGCGATGCATCCGCGATGCACTGGCGACGACTCGGGCTGCACATCGAGCCGCATCGGCGATGCGGCGCGATTCTCCGACCCCATCTGCTCCGACCCCATCAAGGAGGCCTCGAGTCCCAGACCCCCGACGTCGTTATTTGTTTACAACGTCGACCCCTAAAGGTCTGGACCCCGTCCCCTGGACCGGTTTCTCGTCCTGAGTCGTTTCTCAACGCTCCAGAGGCCCAATGAGGGCCCCTGGAGGACGAAAATAGCAAGAAACTCCCAGTCGTGATTTTTTCACCACGCGAGGGGGCCTGGGGTGCCTGCCCCCGAGGCCGGCGGCGTGTTTCTTGGCATGGATTTGGAGCGCGGTAGCCAAATCCATGGATCGGGGAAGGTGCCCTCCCCGAAATGCGGCCGGTGCCGCCTCGCTCGGCGGCGGAAATCCGCGATGCCCCATGGAAACGGGACCCGTCGCTCATCCAAGCCCCCTTGATCCACGCTTGCGATCGCCCGAATCCAGGAGGCCTCGAGTGCCTGCCCCCCGAGGCCGGCGTCGTGCTTCTTGGCCTGGGTCTCCGCTGTGCGTGTCGCCGAGCTTGGCCGGCGCGCTGAGGCTGCGCGCGCGGGCCGCCACCGCGGGGCCTCCGCCGCTCGGCAGTGCCTCGTCGGCCGCGGCGGCCTCGGGCCGATCGGCGCCCTCCTCTCTGGGTGACCCAGAAGGGGTTCAGCTGAAAGGGGCTGGTGCAGGGGATCTGGGGCAATCGTATTGCAGGCGTACTGCGCCGGAGAATTGTGTTGCATTGTATTGCAAGTGTAACGTATTGCGCACGAAAGTGCAGCAATATATCTGCGCCACGGAATGCATTTCACGCCCCAAACCTATTGCAACCCCACAAATCTATTGCACCAAATCTGTTGCACCACCCCCTTGTCGCTGGACCCCCTTTTGGGTCAACCCGATCCTCGGCGCAGCCGCAGCTCTGGTGGGTCACGCCGCGGCCGTGCAGGTGGCAGAAGGTGCACTTGGAGCCGAACCTTCTGGGACGCACAGAGACAACATCTCGTACTATATGTTCTCCTTGGGGGCGTGCGCCCGATCCGAACATATAGTTCAACTGTCTTGTAGTGTTAGGTCGGGCATGTCCCCCTAGAAGCGGATTTAGGACGAGAAAAATGTCGACAAACATTTAAACACTAATAAAGTATGTTTGGCTATTCCTCCTGTACAGGGACAGGCCAGCCTTAATTGTAGTACCTCGTTTCCCGAGCGCAGGTGGCAGAAGGTGCACGTGGAACAAACCTTCGGGCCCGGGGCCCAGACCCCCTCGAGTCATGCAAAAATCACGGCGGGGATTTGTTCGCCATCTCAGGGCTCTGGAGGCCCTCACCGGCTCTATAGGGAGCGTCAACAAAACGCCTCGGGACGAGAAGCCGGCCCCGGAGAAGGGGTCGAGACCTCTGGGGGTCGCCGTCAGGAAAAATCGTGACGTCGGGGGTCTGGGGGTGCTGCTCCCTGAGATCCTGGCGGTGTCGCTCTCCCTCTCTCGGGCCCCGGGGCCCTCACGGATCGCTCCGCCTCAAGAGAGGCTGCGGGAACATGGAGCCATGGGGCTCCGGGCGTGGCGCTTTGCGATGCTGCACTCGTTCTGCAACGCTGGGTGTCGGGGGCAGTGGCCCTGGCCCAGGGCGCCCCCTGAACTCAAGAGGGGGAGGCCCCCACGGCCTCCAGATCGCTCCTCGCGAGGCCCAGGGGGGCTCCAGAAAGAATGGAACGGAAATCGAAAGCTGGGCGAGGGCTGCCAAAACCGTGGCTGCTAAAACGGCCCTCCCGGAAGGAAAAAACAATTTCCCGGAATGAGGCGCGGCACGCGAAAGAGTCAACGGGCTTCTTCCCGGAAGGATTTAGCAGCCACGGATTTAGCAGCCCTTGCCCAGCTGCCGAAGAAAAAGCTGGGGGGCACCTCGCGGCAGGGGCACCCTTTGCCGCTGCCGAAGCCTGCAGGAGCCCCGCTTGAACACGAAGTTGCAATACCGCGGGGCGTCGGCGTCGCCCCGGAGGCACCGCCCCTCCGGCCGGCAGTCCTCGCACCGGTCCAGGGTCTCGAACAGGGGCGCGTCGAGCATCCGCTCCAGCGTCCTCTGCACAAGCCACTGCCTGGCCTCCATCTCCTGCGGCGGCGAGCGAGGGGTGGAGAGGAGAGGGAGAAGGCCTTCTGCGAAGGCGACGGGGCTTCTCGGAAGGCCTCCGGCCTTCTGAGAGGCCTTTGGTATCTTCGGGGAAAGGCTTCAAAAACTTCGAAGAAGGCTGGGTGACTTCCGAGCCTTCCGATAAGGTCCTCCCCTTCGCACTTCCCCCCCTCGCTCGCCGCCGACTCCTGTCGGAGCAGGGCGACCTGAGACAACTCCAGCTCACAATCAATTCCCGGAGCTTCCCCCGGGTCCAAACGCACTAGTTTTGCGAGCTGCGTCCTGCCGTGGCGACGAGGGGGGATCCCCGAAGGCCAACCAACCCAAGACCCCCCACGTCGTGCATTTTTTCGCAACATCGACCCCCAAAGGTCTGAACCCCTTCCCCGGGACCAGTTTCTCACCCTGTGCTGTTTCTTAACGCTCCCGAGACCCATTGAAGGCCCCCAGAGGGCGCAAATAGCGAAAAACGCGCCGTCGCGATTTTTTCACAGCGCGAGGGGGTCTGGGTCCTGCCGTGGCTACGAAGGGGGCCCCCGAAGGCCAACCAACCACACCTCCCGTCGACCCTGGGCCCGCGAAGGCCAGCCAGCGAGGAAACTCTCTTCGCCCTCCCCCGGCAGTCCTGGAACCACGCGGGCCTGCACGTCGGCGTGACGCACCGCGAATGGCCACACCTGTGGAGCACCTTTTGGGACGCACGAAGACATACTAGTACGGGATGTCCTCCTTGGAGGCACGCGTCCGACCCGAACATAATGTAGACTACATCTTGCAGTAGACCGCTTCCCGAGCGGTGTGGCCAGAAAGCGCCGGCCACGGCGCATCTACCATACGATTGCTCAGTGCGCGCGTCGTTCCCTGGGGGGGAGACCCAGGCCTCCGACGTCGTGTTTTTTTCAATATGGGGTCCCCAGAAGTCTCGACCCATTCCCCAGGACCCGTTTTTCATCCTGAGTAGTTTTTTGACGGTCCCGGGGCCCTGCGAGGGCCCCTAAAGGCCGAAAATTGCGATAAGCGTCCGTCTTGATTTTTGCAATGCGTTGGATCTCTGGGGGCGCACACCTAGGAGGGTCAGGGTAGGAGGTCGTTCCACCTCCCAACCTAGCATGAGCATGTTGGGAAGGCGACGCATCTTCGGCAGGAGAGACACGGTGCCGGAGGGAACTGCGTTCTGGACCCCAGGGCCCTCCCCCGGAGCCAACTCTTCTCGGGTTGCTTGGTGATGTTAGGTCGGGCATGTTCCCCTACAGGCGAATTTTGGGCGAAAAGTGAAATTATGAAGGGGCCCTGAGACACACAAATAAATACACACTAATAAAAGGATACCCCATATTTTCTCATATTTTCTGGGTTCTTGTCTCCCCCCCCCACTTCCTATGTTTTTACACATTTTCCTGGGAATCAGCGATTAATTGTGTCTGTGTGTTTTTTCCCCTCCTGAAATTAGCAAAACAGGCATTCAAGCATAGTTTTAAAACAGCAATAGAAAACTCGTCCCCTACATAAATTGTGACTACTTGAGAAGGTTCCTCCTGTAGAGGGACACGCCCGACCTAATGGGAAGGGGGGGTGCCCCTAGATGGGGGGTGGAGAGAAAAAAGGCCCTAAAAGGGCCCTTCGATACCTCTTTGGAGCCAGCAGGGGCCCAACAGGGGCCTCAACGGGCTCCTTGAAGGTAAGTTTCTTTAGGCCACCCCCCCTTCTACCACCCGCCCGGTCTTCCTCCTGGGTAATGCTGTAACGGTCCCAAGGCCATGGCAAGGCCCCGAGAGCTGGAGGACGGCAGAAAAACACCGAGACCCGTTTCTCTCGGGACCCGTTTGCTTCACAACGACGCCGGAAACAAGAAGCCGATACCGCGACGCCCAGGACCTTCCCTGGGGTGCGCTCGGACCAGAATCTCGCGGAGAATCCACCCGTGGCGACGAGGGATCTCCACGACGAACAATGGCATTCGCATCTCTCCCTGGCCCTCCCCTGAACCTCCTGTTGGCCGCACCGATGGCAAGCGGTGTTGCCGTCGCTATCCGTCTGCATCGCCACGGAACCAATCGCGCCCTCCTGAGCATTGTGAAACTGATCCCCAGACCCCCGACGTAGTGATTCTCCAATCAGTGCTTGCACTGAAGTGGTCCTAGCGGAAATTGAAAAGTTTGACGAAAATTCCAACCGATTTTGGTAGCAAGCTGGGTTCCCGGGTTCCCGGTTCCGGGTTCCCGGGTTTCCGGTTATTGGTTCCATGGAGGTCCATTTCGGTGGGTTCTGGGTTCCCGGGCTCCCGGGTTCCCGGTCGATCTCATCAGCGAAAACCATCCACTGATTGGGGTTCTTCTCTGGTGTAATTTTTTCACAACGTCGACCCCCAGAGGTCGGGACCCCTTCCCCGGGACTGGTATTTCATCCTGATTCGTTGTTTGACAGTCCCGGGACACGCGAAGGGCCCCCAACGGCCGAAAACATAAAAAAACATGGCGTCGTGATTTCTTCACGACGCGAGGAGGTCTGGTTCCCTATCCCCACTGGCGTGGCCATGGCCCAGCTTGCCGACCCTGCCGCCCAGGAGGGTCTATCCCCACCTCGGAGGGGCCTCTCCCCACCAAGGCGGTGCAAATCCTCACCTAATTAGGAGGGTGGGCTGGTGCCGCTGAGGAGCTGGCTGGGATTTGCAACATCAGCCCGCAGGTCCATTGCAATCCTCATCGGCTACAAGCAAGCCCAGAGATCCAACGTATTGAACTAATCAAAACGAGAATTTGTCTCAATGTTCGGCCTCTCGGAGCCCTCGCCGGGCCTCGGGACCGACAAACAACGACTCAGGAGGGTGAAAAGCCGGTCCTTGGGAATGGGTCGAGACTTCTTGGGACCCCGTATGGAAACAAAAAAAGAAAAACACGACATCGGATCTCTGGGAGAGTGCCCCTGCGTAAGAGTGACCTTTGGTGCGCGGCTTCTGGGGGGCCACGGGAGGAGCGCGCAAGACGCTACTATCGCATCGCCTTCGGCGATCGCGGGACCCCTCTTGGCCCCGCATCGAAGGTCACTCCAGCGAAAGGTCACTCGTCCCTTGCAATCCTCAGTTTGAAGGACTGAATCTAGAGTCGGGGGCGGTCAAGAGGGGGGCGTCCAAGAGGGGGGGGTGCAAATCATGGCCGGCGGCATGTGCGCGGCCCAAAGGGGGGGTCAGGGACGTAATGAAGTAAACAGGCGCCATGAAATCTGGGGAAAGATCATGGCCCACGCCATGATATCCACCCCCCCCTAGTCATCACCCCCCTCTGTGCCGCCCCCGGTAGAGGGGCCTGGGCCCAAAACTCTCGACAGTTTCTGGGGTTCCCAAGTTGCCTCCCGCAATACCCCCAAGGGCTTCCAGCGCGACTTGTTCCTGGAGCCGTGGGGCGCCCATAACGGACCTGTAGAGGGCCCCAGGAAGCCTCTGACCCCTAACCCAGCAACGGTGGCGGGATGGGCCAGAGACCAACAAATCTGCCGCCTCCTTTTGATGTATCACAGGGGTGCTTGGCGTGTTAGACCCTCTCGGTTTTGGTTTTGGTTTTTTTCAAAAGAACTCCCCCTGGGGCTTCGGCCCGTCCCGCCGGCCACCCGGAAGGATCTTCCAGAGGTGGTTGCAAAGGGTTCTCCTGCTCCAAAAACGGCCGTTTCGCTCGGGACATCCTCAACAAATCGTGAAGATGGCCCAAGATGGCCTCAAAGTCCGCCCAAGATGGTCCAAGACGGCCTCCAAGACGGCCCATGAGAGTCCAAGACGGCCCAAGATGCCCAAGAGGCCCCCCGGAGGCCTCCCAGACGGCCCAGGAGGCCTCCAAGAGGTCCTCCAGGAGGGCCCGAAGAGGCCGAAATCATTGTCTTGTCGTAGGTTTTTGAAGGATTTGGGAATTTGCTTCTTTTCGGCAGTCCGACGGCTCAAGACGGCCCAAGAGGCCCCCAAGATCGACCAAGAGGCCCCCAAGAGGGCCCCATGACGGCCGAAGTGGCCTCCAAGACGGCCCCAAGAGGGCCCCAAGATGGTCCAAGAGGCCTCCAACACACCCAAGATGGCCTCCAAGACGCCCAAGATGGCCTCCAAGACGGCCCCGAATCGCCCCAAGAGGGCCCCCAGTCGGCCCAGAAAGGCCCGCAGGACGGCTCCCGACGGCGTCAGACGTGCCAAGAACCCACCAAAATGGCCGAATTTGGCTCGAAGCTGGCCCAAGACGGCCCAAGAGGCCCCCAAGAGGGCCTCCAGGAAGGCCAGAAGAGGCCAAACACCTTGATGTTCCTAAGGTTGTGGGCGGAATTTGACATCTCCTTCTTTTCTGCCTTCCGACGGCCCGAGACGGCCCAAGTGCCCCCCAGACACGGTCCCAAGAGGCCCCCAAGACGGCCCAAGAGGTCTCAAAGACGCTCAAGATGGCTTCCAAGACGGCCCAAGAGCCCTCCAAGACGTCCTCCAAGAAGGCCCGAAAAAGACAAAATGGCCTCCAGACGGTCAAGATGACCTTCAAGATGCCCACGTGTTCCCCGAAGGCTTTCCAAACCGATTCGGGGAACACATGGTCCGATAGCTTGGCAGGTCTGGCCTCAACGTTCGGCCACATAGGCGCTTCCAAAAAGGCAAGGGGCGGCGCTGATTCGCCGTAGGCGTCTTCGATCCGCCGCCCCCTGTTGATTCATCACAGGGGTGCCTGGCGTGCGAAACCCTCTCGGTTTTGGTTTCGGTTCTTTTTCCAAAAGAGCTCTCCCAGTGGGCTCCGGCGCGTCCCGCCGGGGTCCTGGGACGCTTGCCCAGAGGTGGCTGCAAAGCCCCCAAAACTGCCGTTTCGCTCGGGAAATCCTCAACAGATCGCGAAGATGGCCCAAGATGGCCTGCAAGATGCCTCCAAGACAGCCAAGATGGCCTCCAAGACGGCTGAGATGGCCCCAAGATGAATCCAAGACGGCCCAAGATGGCCACAATATGGTCTACGACGGCCCAAAAGGGCCGCAAGAGGCCTCCAAGACGGCCCAAGAGGCCTCCAAAAGGTCCTCCAGGAAGGCCCGCAGAGGCCAAAATCATTGATTTCCCATGGTTTTTGAAGGATTTTAGCATTTGAGAATTTTCGGCCTTCCGACGGCCCGTGAAGGCCCCAGAGGCCGCCAAGGTCGCCCCAAGATCGCCCAAGAGGTCTCCAAGATGGCCCCATGACGGCTCAAGAGGCCCTCAAGACGGCCCCAAGAGGGCGCCAAGACGGCCCAAGAGGCCTCGAAGACGCCCAAGATGGCCTCTAAGACGGCCCTGGAGCACCCCAAGAGGGCCCCAAATCGGCCCAGAAAGGCCCGCAGGACGGCTCCCGACGGCGTCAGACGGGCCAGGAGCCCGTGGCTCGCAGCTGGCCCAAGACGGCCCAAGAGGCCTCCAAGAGGGCCTCCAGGAAGGCCAGAAAAGGCAAAAGAAGAGCGTTTTTTTTCTGCATTTGAAACATTTTGACATTTGCTTCGTTTCGGCCCTCCGACGGCCCGAGACGGCCCAAGAGCTCCCAAAGATCGCCCACGGATCGCCCAAGAGGCCTCCAAGATGGCCCCAGAACGGCCCAAGAGGCGCCCAAGACGGCCCCAAGAGGCCCCCAAGACGGCCCAAGAGGCCTCCAGACGCTCAAGATGGCCTACAAGATGGCCAACGAGCCCTCCAAGACGTCCTCCAAGAAAGCCCGAAAGAGTCAACATGGCCTCCAGGCGGCCAAGATGAGCTTCAAGATGCCCACGTGCTCCCCGAAGGCTTTCCAAGCCGATTCGGGGAACACATGGTCCGATAGCTTGGCAGGTCTGGCCTCAACGTTTGGCCACATAGACGCTTCCACAAAGGCAGGGGGCGGCGGTGATTCGCCGTGGGCGTCTTCGATCCGCCGCCCCCTTTTGATTTATCAAAAAGGGTGCCTGGCGTGCCGGACGATATGGCTTTTGGTTTTGGTTCTTTTTCCACCCCTGGGGCTCCGGCGCGTCCCGCCGGCCACCCGGAAGACCAGGTTGCAAACGGTTTTCCTGCCCCAGACGGCCCCAAGATGGCTTCCGAGACGGCTAAGATGGCCCTAACATGCCTCAAAGACGGCCCAAGATGCACCCAAGACGGCCTAAGATAGCCTGAAGATGGCCCAAGACGGCCCAAGAGGCCCTCAAGAGGCCTCCAAGACGGCCCAAGAGGCCTCCAAGAGGACCTCCAGAAGGCCCGAAGATGCCAAAATCATTGATTCGCCTTAGGTTTTTGCAGGATTTTGGCATTTGCGCCTTTTCGGCTTTCCGACGGCTCCAAATAACCCAAGAGGCCCCCAAGATCGCCCCATGGATCGCCCAAGAGGCCTCCAAGAGGACCCCATGACGGCCCAAGAGGCCTCCAAGACGGCCCCAAGAGGGCCCCAAGACGGCCCAAGAGGCCTCCAACACGCCCAAGATGGCCTCCAAGACACCCAAGATGGCCTCCAAGACGGCCCCGAAGCGCCCCAAGAGGGCCCCAAGTCGGCCCCGAAAGGCCCCCAAGACGGCTCAGACGGCGTCAGACGTGCCAAGAACCCACCAAGATGGCCGAAGTTGGCTCGAAGCTGGCCCAAGACGGCCTCCAAGAGGGCCTCCAGGAAGGCCAGAAGAGGCCAAACACCTTGATGTTCATAAGGTTTTTGACGGAATTTGACATTTGCTTCTTTTCGGCCTTCCGACGGCCCGATACGGCTCAAGAGCTCCCAAAGATCGCCCACGGATCGCCCAAGAGGCCTCCAAGATGGCCCCAGAACGGCCCCAAGAGGCCCCCAAGACGGCACATGAGGCCTTTAAGACGCCCAAGATGGCCTCTAAGACGGCCCTGGAGCATTCCAAGAGGGCTCCAAGTCGTCCCATAGAGGCCCCCCAAACGGCTTCCGACGGCGTCAGACGGACCAGGAGCCCACCAAGACGGCCGAACATGGCCCTAAGATGGCCCAAGACGGCCCAAGAGGCCTCCAAGAGGGCCTCCAGGAAGGCCCGAAAAGGCGAAAATCATTGATTGCCCATTGGTTTCTGAGGAATTGTGGCATTGTTTTTTTTCTGCTTTCCGACGGCCCGAGACGGCCCAAGTGCCCCCAAAGATCGCCCAAGAGGCCCAAGACACGGCCCCAAGAGGCCCCCAAGACGGCCCAAGAGGTCTCCAAGACGCTCAAGATGGCCTCCAAGACGGCCCAAGAGCCCTCCAAGACGTCCTCCAAGAAGGCCCGAAACGGTCAAAATGGCCTCCAGACGGCCAAGATGACCTTCAGGATGCCCACGTGCTCCCCGAAGGCTTTCCAAACCGATTCGGGGAACACATGGTCCGATAGCTTGGCAGGTCTGGCCTCAACGTTTGGCCACATAGGCGCTTCCACAAAGGCAGGGGGCGGCGGTGATTCGCCGTGGACGTCTTCGATACCACGGCCCAATGAGACTGGGGATGGGTCGGACGATGCTTCTGGACGCGCGAAGTGACAAGCAACAATGAGCACGATGCCCAACAACAAGTTGCGCCCAACCGGTAGCGGCTTCTGTTCGGCAGACGGCCTTCTGTCTCAAATGGATAACGTCCGCGGCGACACCGACACAGAGGCCTGCTCAAAAGGAACAAGACACGCTGTCGGTCTTCGTGCCCATTCTTTCAAATTCTGTCGGTCGTAGTGTCCATTCTTTCCGTGCTCATTTCGATCGTCCGAGACGATGCTCAATGGGCGGCTCGGTGGAGGAGGAGGAGGAGGAGGAGGAGGAGGAGGAGGAGGAGGAGGAGGGAGGAGGAGGAGGAGGGAGGAGGGAGGGAGGAGGGAGGGGGGAAGGAGGAGGAGGAGGCGGTGTGGTGGGGGGTGGGCGGGGGGGGGGAAACGTGCACTGCTCGTGCCCCTCAAGGGCCCCAGGGGGCTCCTTTACCTTTCTTCACCCCCCCCATAATGGTGATGGGCTAACTTTCCACCACCGCTACCACATGTAGGACGGGGGAGACGGGAGGATGAGGAGGCCCTCCTCCTCCTCCTCCTCCTCCTCCTCCTCCTCCTCCCCATTCCCCCCTTCAGCTTACGGTTGTGGTGGTGGAAAGCAGGCCCATCAACCGTGGAAGTCAGCGAGCACCGATACCACTACTACTCCCCGGACCTCTCCCGGGGTGCGTTCTGACCAGGCTCTCGAGGCGAAGCCAACGGTGGCGACACGGGCCTCCCAGGAGGCCCCAGAATGAAAACGAGGGAAAGGCAGTGGTGCCTTTTCCTCCTCCGTCGGCACGACATTCGACCCATTCCCCGTGACCGGTTTCACGTCCCGAATCGTTGTTTGATGGTCCTGGGGCCTGGTAAGGGCTCCCAGAAATCGAAATAGCGAAAACCTGCCGTCGTGCTGCCTTCATTACCCGAGCGGGTCTGGACTTTGCAACGAAAAATCGCACCCCGAACCCTAAACCTCATCTTTCTGCGTCGTTCTTCGAGGCGGATAAATCTGTGAAGGTCCCGGAGCCCAAGAAAAGCGACAACACCCGGCTCGAAAAATCGGGGATGGACAGAACCCTCTTTAGTAAAACGTGGTTTGGTGAAAACGACCTCGGGTCCAAACCTGGCGGGCGCAAACCTGGAAAATGACGGCCTCAGCGCCCTGCCGAGAACCGAAAACGGACAATTCACGAATCGACGTGTCAGGGTGGGGGCTCCGTCCACCCCCGAAACAAATTGAGACGACAGGATCTCAGGGTATCGCTGTCCACTGCGCAAGCCCCGAGCTCCGAGACGAGGCTGACGTCCGGCAGCGGCGGCCGCGCGAGGCCCAGCGGCGGCGTCTGCTGCTCGGGCCCCGGCGCGGACCGCGCGGGCGCCGCCGCCGGCGGGGCCGCCGCCAGCGCGCTGTGCACCCCGGGCGGCCGCTGCGGAAAGCCGAGCGGCTCGCCGACGTAGTAGCTGCTGGCCACTCCCCCACTCCACGGTGGGTCGTCCTGAGCGAGGCGGGGGCTTGTACCCAGACCCCCTCGCGTTGTGAAGTGAAAAAAACACGACGGGAGGTTTTTCGCTATTTTCGGCCTCTGGGGGCCCAGCCCCGAATAAATTAATGTGGCGGGTTCCGCAAACCCTGAACCCAAAAATATTGCCATCTCATGACGGCCGAAGTGGCCTCCAAGACGGCCCCAAGAGAGATGGTCCAAGAGGCCTCCAACACACCCAAGATGGCCTCCAAGACGCCCAAGATGGCCTCCAAGACGGCCCCGAATCGCCCCAAGAGGGCCCCCAGTCGGCCCAGAAAGGCCCACAGGACGGCTCCCGACGGCGTCAGACGTGCCAAGAACCCACCAAAATGGCCGAAGTTGGCTCGAAGCTGGCCCAAGACGGCCCAAGAGGCCCCCAAGAGGGCCTCCAGGAAGGCCAGAAGAGGCCAAACACCTTGATGTTCCTAAGGTTGTGGGCGGAATTTGACATCTCCTTCTTTTCTGCCTTCCGACGGCCCGAGACGGCCCAAGTGCCCCCCAGACACGGTCCCAAGACCTTCAAGATGCCCACGTGTTCCCCGAAGGCTTTCCAAACCGATTCGAGGAACACATGGTCCGATAGCTTGGAAGGTCTGGCCTCAACGTTCGGCCACATAGACGCTTCCACAAAGGCAGGGGGCGGCGCTGATTCGCCGTAGGCGTCTTCGATCCGCCGCCCCCTGTTGATTCATCACAGGGGTGCCTGGCGTGCGAAACCCTCTCGGTTTTGGTTTCGGTTCTTTTTCCAAAAGAGCTCTCCCAGTGGGCTCCGGCGCGTCCCGCCGGGGTCCTGGGACGCTTGCCCAGAGGTGGCTGCAAAGCCCCCAAAACTGCCGTTTCGCTCGGGAAATCTTCAACAGATCGCGAAGATGGCCCAAGATGGCCTGCAAGATGCCTCCAAGACAGCCAAGATGGCCTCCAAGACGGCTAAGATGGCCCCAAGATGAATCCAAGACGGCCCAAGATGGCCACAATATGGTCTACGACGGCCCAAAAGGGCCGCAAGAGGCCTCCAAGACGGCCCAAGAGGCCTCCAAGAGGTCCTCCAGGAAGGCCCGCAGAGGCCAAAATCATTGATTTTCCATGGTTTTTGAAGGATTTTAGCATTTGAGAATTTTCGGCTTTCCGACGGCCCGTGAAGGCCCCAGAGGCCGCCAAGGTCGCCCCAAGATCGCCCAAGAGGTCTCCAAGATGGCCCCATGACGGCTCAAGAGGCCCTCAAGACGGCCCCAAGAGGGCGCCAAGACGGCCCAAGAGGCCTCGAAGACGCCCAAGATGGCCTCTAAGACGGCCCTGGAGCACCCCAAAAGGGCTCCAAATCGGCCCAGAAAGGCCCTCGAAACGGCTTCCGACGGCGTCAGACGGGCCAGGAGCCCACCAAGATGGCCGAAGGTGGCTCGCAGCTGACCCAAGACGGCCCAAGAGGCCTCCAAGAGGGCCTCCAGGAAGGCCAGAAAAGGCAACAAAAGAGCGTTTTTTGCTGCATTTGAAGCATTTTGACATTTGCTTCGTTTCGGCCCTCCGACGGCCCGAGACGGCCCAAGAGCTCCCAAAGATCGCCAACGGATCGCCCAAGAGGCCTCCAAGATGGCCCCAGAACGGCCCAAGAGGCGCCCAAGACGGCCCCAAGAGGCCCCCAAGACGGCCCAAGAGGCCTCCAGACGCTCAAGATGGCCTCCAAGATGGCCAACGAGCCCTCCAAGACGTCCTCCAAGAAGGCCCAAAAGAGTCAACATGGCCTCCAGGCGGCCAAGATGACCTTCAAGATGCCCACGTGCTCCCCGAAGGCTTTCCAAACCGATTCGGGGAACACATGGTCCGATAGCTTGGCAGGTCTGGCCTCAACGTTTGGCCACATAGACGCTTCCACAAAGGCAGGGAGCGGCGCTGATTCGCCGTAGGCGTCTTCGATCCGCCGCCCCCTTTTGATTTATCAAAAAGGGTGCCTGGCGTGCCGAACGATATGGCTTTTGGTTTTGGTTCTTTTTCCAAAAGAACTCCCCCTGGGGCTCCGGCGCGTCCCGCCGGCCACCCGGAAGACCAGGTTGCAAACGGTTTTCCTGCCCCAGACGGCTTCCAAGACGGCTAAAATGGCCCTAATATGCCTCAAAGACGGCCCAAGATGCACCCAAGACGGCCTAAGATAGCCTGAAGATGGCCCAAGACGGCCCAAGAGGCCCTCAAGAGGCCTCCAAGACGGCCCAAGAGGCCTCCAAGAGGTCCTCCAGGAAGGCCCGAAGATGCCAAAATCATTGATTCGCCTTAGGTTTTTGCAGGATTTTGACATTTGCGCCTTTTCGGCTTTCCGACGGCTCCAAACAACCCAAGAGGCCCCCAAGATCGCCCCACGGATCGCCCAAGAGGCCTCCAAGAGGACCCCATGACGGCCCAAGAGGCCTCCAAGACGGCCCCAAGAGGGCCCCAAGACGGCCCAAGAGGCCTCCAACACGCCCAAGATGGCCTCCAAGACACCCAAGATGGCCTCCAAGACGGCCCCGAAGAGCCAAACACCTTGATGTTCATAAGGTTTTTGGCCCCCAAGACGGCTCAGACGGCGTCGGCCTTCCCACGAACCCACCGGATGGCCGAAGTTGGCTCGAAGCCGAAAGAAGCGGCCTCCAAGAGGGCCTGGCCCCAGGCCGAAGAAGCCAAACCCCTTGACGGCCCCAAGGTTTTTGACGACGGCACACATTTGCCTTTTTTCGCCCAAGATGGCCCCATACGGCCAAGAGCTCCCCAAGATCGCCGAAAGATCGCCCAAGAGGCCTCCAAGATGGCCCCAGAACGGCCCAAGAGTGCCCCAAGACGGCCCCAAGAGGCCCCCAAGACGGCACATGAGGCCTTTAAGACGCCCAAGATGGCCTCCAAGACGGCCCTGGAGCATTCCAAGAGGGCTCCAAGTCGTCCCATAGCGGCCCCCCAAACGGCTTCCGACGGCGTCAGACGGACCAGGAGCCCACCAAGACGGCCGAACATGGCCCTAAGATGGCCCAAGACGGCCCAAGAGGCCTCCAAGAGGGCCTCCAGGAAGGCCCGAAAAGGCGAAAATCATTGATTGCCCATTGGTTTCTGAGGAATTGTGGCATTGTTTTTTTTCTGCTTTCCGACGGCCCGAGACGGCCCAAGTGCCCCCAAAGATCGCCCAAGAGGCCCAAGACACGGCCCCAAGAGGCCCCCAAGACGGCCCAAGAGGTCTCCAAGACGCTCAAGATGGCCTCCAAGACGGCCCAAGAGCCCTCCAAGACGTCCTCCAAGAAGGCCCGAAACGGTCAAAATGGCCTCCAGACGGCCAAGATGACCTTCAGGATGCCCACGTGCTCCCCGAAGGCTTTCCAAACCGATTCGGGGAACACATGGTCCGATAGCTTGGCAGGTCTGGCCTCAACGTTTGGCCACATAGGCGCTTCCACAAAGGCAGGGGGCGGCGGTGATTCGCCGTGGACGTCTTCGATACCACGGCCCAATGAGACTGGGGATGGGTCGGACGATGCTTCTGGACGCGCGAAGTGACAAGCAACAATGAGCACGATGCCCAACAACAAGTTGCGCCCAACCGGTAGCGGCTTCTGTTCGGCAGACGGCCTTCTGTCTCAAATGGATAACGTCCGCGGCGACACCGACACAGAGGCCTGCTCAAAAGGAACAAGACACGCTGTCGGTCTTCGTGCCCATTCTTTCAAATTCTGTCGGTCGTAGTGTCCATTCTTTCCGTGCTCATTTCGATCGTCCGAGACGATGCTCAATGGGCGGCTCGGTGGAGGAGGAGGAGGAGGAGGAGGAGGAGGAGGAGGAGGAGGAGGAGGGAGGAGGGAGGAGGAGGAGGAGGAGGAGAGGAGGAGGAGGAGGAGGAGGAGGAGGAGGGAGGGAGGGGAAGGAGGAGGAGGAGGCGGTGTGGTGGGGGGTGGGCGGGGGGGGGGAAACGTGCACTGCTCGTGCCCCTCAAGGGCCCCAGGGGGCTCCTTTACCTTTCTTCACCCCCCCCATAATGGTGATGGGCTAACTTTCCACCACCGCTACCACATGTAGGACGGGGGAGACGGGAGGATGAGGAGGCCCTCCTCCTCCTCCTCCTCCTCCTCCTCCTCCTCCCCATTCCCCCCTTCAGCTTACGGTTGTGGTGGTGGAAAGCAGGCCCATCAACCGTGGAAGTCAGCGAGCACCGATACCACTACTACTCCCCGGACCTCTCCCGGGGTGCGTTCTCACCAGGCTCTCGAGGCGAAGCCAACGGTGGCGACACGGGCCTCCCAGGAGGCCCCAGAATGAAAACGAGGGAAAGGCAGTGGTGCCTTTTCCTCCTCCGTCGGCACGACATTCGACCCATTCCCCGTGACCGGTTTCACGTCCCGAATCGTTGTTTGATGGTCCTGGGGCCTGGTAAGGGCTCCCAGAAATCGAAATAGCGAAAACCTGCCGTCGTGCTGCCTTCATTACCCGAGCGGGTCTGGACTTTGCAACGAAAAATCGCACCCCGAACCCTAAACCTCATCTTTCTGCGTCGTTCTTCGAGGCGGATAAATCTGTGAAGGTCCCGGAGCCCAAGAAAAGCGACAACACCCGGCTCGAAAAATCGGGGATGGACAGAACCCTCTTTAGTAAAACGTGGTTTGGTGAAAACGACCTCGGGTCCAAACCTGGCGGGCGCAAACCTGGAAAATGACGGCCTCAGCGCCCTGCCGAGAACCGAAAACGGACAATTCACGAATCGACGTGTCAGGGTGGGGGCTCCGTCCACCCCCGAAACAAATTGAGACGACAGGATCTCAGGGTATCGCTGTCCACTGCGCAAGCCCCGAGCTCCGAGACGAGGCTGACGTCCGGCAGCGGCGGCCGCGCGAGGCCCAGCGGCGGCGTCTGCTGCTCGGGCCCCGGCGCGGACCGCGCGGGCGCCGCCGCCGGCGGGGCCGCCGCCAGCGCGCTGTGCACCCCGGGCGGCCGCTGCGGGAAGCCGAGCGGCTCGCCGACGTAGTAGCTGCTGGCCACTCCCCCACTCCACGGTGGGTCGTCCTGAGCGAGGCGGGGGCTTGTACCCAGGCCCCCTCGCGTTGTGAAGTGAAAAAAACACGACGGGAGGTTTTTCGCTATTTTCGGCCTCTGGGGGCCCAGCCCCGAATACATTAATGTGGCGGGTTCCGCAAACCCTGAACCCAAAAATATTCCCATCTCTTTGGAGGCCGATGTGTACTTCTGCCAGCTTCCAGCGGCCTTCTGCCACCTTCCACCAGCGGAGCCGCCCTCGCTTTCCTGCCGCCGCCTTCCGCCGAGGCAGAGATGGCAACTCCTTCGGCCCTCGAAGGCGAGGCCCTGTCTGGAACGCCGCACGTATATCCACCGCCTGCCGAAATCTCCGCATGCCCGACACCCATCGATCTGCTTTTTTAGTCCGCGGCCGCTGAGGTCCGAGTCCCCTTCTCCAGGGTCGGCTAGACGTAAGAGTGACCCTGGGCAAGAGTGACCTTTGGCGCGCAGCTCTTTGGGGCCGCTGGGAGGCCAAATCCAGGCGCGCTAGCCGCTGCTACCGCTTCGCGGTCGGCCATCTGGGCCCACCTGTGCCCGCACCAAAGGTCACTCCGGCGAAAGGTCACTCTTACGTCTAGTCGACAGGGTCTTTTCCTTCGTCCCGGATCCATGTTCGACTGACCCCTGGCCCGATCGCGGGGCTCCGGCGGCCGAACTTCCAGAAAGACCGGCGGACTGAACGAGCCAACTTTGGGCGCCCGAGTTATCCGGGGTAACTCGGGTCCGGGGTAACTCGGGTTTGGGTTCCCGAAAAACGAACCCGAGTTAACCCTGACCCGAGTTATCCCTGATGATTCGGGGCTCTGGACGCCCGAAATATCCGGGGTAACTCGGGTCCGGGGTAACTCGGGTTCGGATTCCCGAAAAACGAACCCGAGTTATCCCTGACCCGAGTTACCCCTGATGATTCGGGGCTCTGACAACTGAGCCATCGGATTTCTGAGATATCGATCCACCAGGGGCGGTGGCCATGGACAGCGTCCCCGCCTCGGAGTCCTGTGCGACGAGCTGCCCCGCCCCACGCCCGGGCTGGCACGTCATGGCCGTCCAGCGCACGGGGAGGGGAGGGGCAAGGCGGGAAGATGAGAGAGAGGCCCGCAGAAGGCTCTAAAAGTATAGGTTCGCGGCCAAAAATCGCTCGTGCCACAGAAAGGCGACGTAATCGCCGGGAAGGGGAGGAGGAGGAGGAGGAGGATGAAGAGGAGGAGGAGGAGGAGGAGGAGGAGGAGGAGGAGGAGGAGGAGGGAGGAGGAGGAGGGGGGAAAGACGAGGGAGCAGGAGGAGGAGGACGAGAGGAAGAGGAGAGAGGTAGGAAAGGAGGAAAGAGGGAGAGGAGGAGAGAGGGAGGAGAGGAGGAGGGGAGGAGGAGGAGGAGGAGGAGGAGAGGAGGAGGAGGAGGAGGAGGAGGAGGAGGAGGAGGAGGAGGAGGAGGAGGAGAGGAGAGGAGAGAGGAGGAGGAGGAGGAGGAGGAGGAGGAGAGGGAGGAGGAGGAGGAGGAGGAGGATCGATCGATCGATCGATCGATCGAGCTCTCGGGCCAGTTCGGTGCTACGCTCTCTCGTGCTTGCGTGGCATTACAAAATCTGGTGGCCTAGCTGAGATCACTTTGCCGAAATGGGGTCGCTGGCGTCAACTGAGACGCTCGGGCCCTACCTGCACCGACCTGCCCCACGCAGGGGTCCGAGGGCAGGGTAGCACCCGCGTTTACGAATGCCCTCTCGCTTGCTCCTCTACTCCCCTGCCCTGGCCTCCTCTGCCCCTACCCTTTCGCTTCGGTTCGGGGGGGGGGGGGGGGAGGTCGGTGCACAACAAAATAATCTGGAAAGCTCTGGCCTCGGAGACGGAAAAGGTCTGGAGTCTCAGACGTCGGAGGAGGAGGGGGGAGGCGGCCTTCCCTAACCAACATTCTAAAACGTTCGCTGCCTCTGAACGCCTTCGGAATTGCCTGTGCTATTGCGCTGGCAGGCACAGGACAGAGCTGCACGGTTCTCAGCCGTTGATCAGGCGCCTCATCTCCCGCTCCAGCACTCCCCTCGGCGCCAATCCGGTGTTGTGTACCGTTCCTTCTTTGCGTAGTACCCGCACGAGGATGGGCTCCAGTTGCGGGTTCGCCAGCTTCGCCTGGGACTGGATCCTGCTGCGCTTCTCGTTCGCTCCGCCCTCTTTGCCCTTGCGCGCCCTGGTGATCGGGGTGCTGTCGGTCGAAGCCTCCGCGCTGCCATTCGAGATGGTGTCCTGGTAATAAGTATCCCTGTGGTCGTGCTCCGCGTCTAGCTCCATGGTTGGGGTGCGCGGTGATGTCGACTGCCTGCTGGTTGGGCGCCTCCGATGTGCCGCCTGGTCCTCCTTCTTGAGCTCCTTTCACGTGGCGTCTCGGCTGGCGGCTGCGGTCGGGGCTCGGTGGCCCTCCTGCCGTCGCCGCGGGCGCCCCTGCTGGGCGCTGGCCGACGAGCGCCATTCCGTGCTCGCGGTCGGAGTAGCTGTCTAGGTTAATGAGTGCATAGGTGGGAGAAGTACCTTACCTTGTCCAAGAAGAGATGGCTGCAGAGAGGGCATTTCGTGCTCGGTTTCGTCGGCTGGCATTGATTTCGTGTCCTATCTGAATTGCAGCTTCCTGTAATCATACTCCTCGCCAGATGTTTCCAAGCGGTCCCTCGGCTAGTAAAACGCTGGTAGCAATTGATGCACTCGTTGTTAGTTGTCAGCAGAGCGGCTAAATTGTGTACGTGATGATTTCGGATGATATGACTGTGCAATGCCTTCTTGCTGGCGCACAGGAGTCCGCACTCCCCTAGACTATCCCTGAGGGGGCATCTCCACGGTTGGAGGTCCTGGAGGGCCAGATCTTCTCGGAGCTCATCGTTTGGGGCCTGTCCTGGTGGGGGAACTGCTACTGTCAGTTTAGCTGCTCTGACTTCTCGTACGTCTAGTAGGTGTAGCTGTTTTCTGACCTCGAGCGCGAACATCTTACCTATCTTGACATCCTCCTCCCCGAAGATGGTTCTGAAATTCTCCGAGATTTGGCAGGCTTCCGCCACGTCCTCCTCGATGCGACGGGCCCAGGGGTTCGTATGCGTCGTCAGCTCGTTCGTGGTCTCGTCGGCATCCGTCTCGAATTCGAGGCGTCCGAATAGGGCGACGATGAGCTGGCGATGGTTGTTCGGGAATCTCAAGATGTTGTTTGTCCAGCCGAGCCTTCGGACCAAGGCTTCCTCCGCTGGTGGCAGGATCTGCCAGTAGCGAAAAACCTCCAGCGTTGTCATGTTGCGCACTGTGCCATCCTCGTGGCGCGTGCTCGCCCTGCCTGCCACCGCCCTCCTCAGCAGTGCTCCCATTGCACTCTGAAGTATATGGTACTCGTTGGGCGTCGGCAGGTAGCACTCGATGCATGAGAGTCCCGTGTTGATGACCCTGCATATGAGGACGGCGCGCTTCCGCCTGTACGGGATCTCGCGCTTGGTCCAGAACTTGCCACACTCGTAGTAGCTCTTCTTCATGGCCTGGATGCGTTTCTGCAGTTCTGGGTAATATTGTTGTGTCGCTGTGATCTGTGGGCCCAGGTACCTCGCCGTCGCCGCTTCCTTGCCAGGGAGTTTGCACTGTGGGTCCTGCTTGAGTAGTCGGTGTGCCTGGCTGGCACCCGAGCCCTGGAAGTAAACGATCGTCTCCTGCTGGTCCTGGTTCTGTTTGAGGCCGATCTCCGAGAGGCGTACGTTCAATGTGTCGTCTATCTTGTGGGCCGGGTCGACGAGGGATGGGGCGTCTGCTTGCTTCCCGCGTAAGATGAGCTTGCGTATGTCGTCCGCGTACTTGGTCAGCCCGACGTAGACAGGGTGTAGAAATAGTTCGCTTTTGCCATAGAGCAGCTTGTCGTGCGTGATCTCCTCGTTGCAGTCCTTAGTCCAGCGCTCGATGCAGGGCGCGAAGCTGGCCACGAGGTTGCGTGCCATATACGGGTCGCCAATGAGGCCACCGCAGTGGGGTTTAATGCACACGCCCTGCCCGTCGTCTCTGCAGTCCATGATGAAGGCTGCTCGGCGGCATCGTTGTTCGCAGAGGTCCCATAGGTCATTCGGCATGATATTGCTGTTCCCCGCGCCCATGGATTTGCAGCTGGCGAACGCGTTGGACATATCCTTCATGGTGGACGCGTAGTTGTAGCCCGCCACTCGTGCTCTGTACTCGATGACCGCCATAGTGGGGATCGCGCCTTTTCTTCGTCTACCCTTGGCGAAGCCGTAGTCCTGGTCGGTGTGGGTGCGCTTCTGCTGTCGGCGTAGCGCCGCCGCGTAGTGCGCCTTGCCGATCGGGCCCATGATGTGGTAAATCCTCTTGCCTGCTGGGCCCTTCTTCGCGTTCTTCTTGACTGCTGTCGCCGTGCTCTGATGCCAGCGCACTGGTGCCACGTTGCTGATGCGTATCGCTGCCAGTGCCGCCTTGATTAGAGCTTGAAGTAGAACTGGTTCTCCGTCGCATGCTTGGTGTCCGAGTCCGTTTCGTTGGCGTGGTTGTCGGTCTTGGTCTGGCGGGCAAAGCAGTAGTCGCCATACTTCTGCCGGTGCCGCTGTGGGCGGTGCTGCTCGTCGGAGGCGCGCACGTTTGAGGCGCTTCGCGATCTCGTTGTAATCCTCCTCGGTCTTCTCCTCTAAGTCGTTCTCGTAGTAATCCTGTTCATCCGCGTGGTGTGGGATGGCCTCCAGGTGTTGCGCGTCCTGCTCAGTCCCCTCCATGCCTCCAGAGCCTCCTGGAAGTTGCCAGAACTCTGCCCACTCCTGTTTGGTTGGGTTTGCCGTCGTCGCCGTCCAGTAGCCCCTCTTGCGTGGTCCGTACCGTCCTCCTGCAATCAGACGGGAGTCGTCCGACCCGTGCTAGGTCGCGTTGTTCCCACGCCTCGTGCAACTCCTCCACGCGGAGGTCGGTACGGTGTTGCTGCGCCCGTCGTCGCTGTAGCTGGCAGGTCCGGGTGATGTCTCGGAGCTGCGTCTCTTTCCTGCGCATGCGCTGTTCCGTCTCGGTGAGTGGCGTTGGTTTCTCTTCGGCGTATGGGTTTCCTTCTGTGTTTCCCTGGTCCTGGGTCGCCGTCGCGGGAGAGTCCCCGGGTTCGAGCTCGTCCGTGCAAAACGGGGGCGGCGACGATGCGGTCGCAAGCGTGCGGGCAGCCTCTGTGGTTGCTGCGTGGAGGTCGTGAAATTCAGCTCTGGCTGCTCTGCGATCTCGGAGGAGTTGCATGCGTTCACGGCGTAGTTCCTCGTACTCGTCCGTCGGCGTCGGCGCCTTGCTGTAGAACCTCTGCGCCTTCTCGATGAGCATGGTGTTGATGTCCTGGAAGAGCTGGTCCACTCCTTTGTCTGCTGGGTCGTAATATTGCATGGCCCGTTCCACCTGCTCGATGAACTCCCCTCTATGAAGTCCGTGGCGCGCTGCGTGGGCCAAGCTGTCCTTGTCCCACTTGGGTATCTGGGGTCGATGTTGTACTCGCTGTCGTAGTGGTAGGCGAAACGTCACGTGCACTGGAACGTGGTCCCGTCGTGCTCGGCAACGAATGTGTTGAAGGCGTGCTCCTATATGAAGTAGGGGTCCTTGTGAGATCATCGTTCCCGTCATGCTCTGCGGTATCATGATGTAGTCTATGCAGCTAACGTGTTTCTCGCCGAAGTACGTAGGCCGCCAGCTGCCGATGGTATTCACTATGCTGAGTTGGTGGCGGTCCGCGTAGTTCCGTGCTTTCTGCCCCGCGCCTCCTGGTAATCGTTCAGGTGATCGCCCTTCTCCAAGTGCTGCTGTCTCTGGTCTGTCGCCCTTGCCCGTGATGCCCACTCCGTCGTTGAGGTCGCCTGCAACGATGAGCATCGTATTGCGGTGCTTCCTCTGGCTGGTGTCCTCTATCCAAGCGAACAGGCGGCTGGCCGTCGCATAGTAGTCCTTGCGCGACGCCTTGCCCTGGGTGGGCTGCGGGGGGCAATAGTAGCCGATGATCAGCATTGTCTGATCGTGGTGCTGCATTGTGATCGCGAGTCCTCTTCCGCCGAGTTTTTGTGGTG